AGAGGAGATAAAGGCAGAATAAGATAGTCTTTGACCTAAAGGAGAATGGTGATATAGTGTAATGGGTTGGATAGGGCCCATGAGCACACACATCTGTGAACTAATGAAGAAATCTCCCTTTCCACAGTTGCCTCATACAATATCCATAGCAATTTTATCTGAAAGTCTAAGAGCATGTTCATTTCTTACTATATATCTAGTGGGGGAGAAAAGTGATATATATTATTTTCACCTTACAAACAAGAAACAAACAATTATTTTAAATATTTAGAATACTAGCAATCACGTAGATCTTCTATTATCTTCTGTGCAGGAAGGAGACTAGTAAAGTAGGGCTATCAGAGAAGCTCGCAAAGAGGCTGGGTACAGGAGATGGGAATAAATTGGTTTATGAGTACAGGTGAAGAAATGATAATCTCAGACTGGTGGTACCTTCAAAAGCACGTTCAAATGACTGTAACAGTTCTTTCTCAAGCAACAAATATGGAGAAACACTGCCCCAGACTAAAGGTTCAGAGGGCCACTGCAGAAGGACTTCTGTGATAATCAGATTAAGCCCAGATTGAAAAAGAGGGGTAAGGAAGCATTTGAGGCAGTGAATAAGCCCTTGTTTCAATGAGAGCAGTCAGAATCATTCATTTCACAAATATTTATTAAGCATTATTTATTAAGTATTATATATGCCAGGCTCTGTCTAGGTCTAAGAACATATGAACACAGTCCATTCCCATGGAGAACTTGTGAACTTGAGAGATAAACAAGTAAATGAACAATGCTCATTATGGAAACCAATTGTCAGTGTCATTGGTATACTAGGTACTGGTGTCTACCATAAACACTTGCACATGTTCACAACATGGCATTTTTACAAGAATAATCCCTATAGAAGTGCTCATAAAAAATCAGGAGACAACCTAAGTGTCTTTCAACATTTAAATGTTTACATAAAGCTATAGTATAGCAATAGTATGTAATAGAGGGAAGCAATTAAAAATAATACATTTTTATGTTCTGGCATGGACAGCTCTTCAAGACAAAGAGCTGAACAATACATATTGTGGGAGTGGATAATCATAGATAACTTTAGCCTTATTAATAAGAACTTAAATGTTTAAATAATGTTTCAATAAGAACATAAACTATGGTATTAATTGAGTAGTTAAAATAATTTTTTGGTTTTTGAGACAGAATTTTGCTCTTGTTGCCCAGGCCGGGGTGCAATGGCATGATCTCAGCTCACCAAAACATCCACCTCCCACATTCAAGTGATTTTCCTGCCTCAGCCTCCAGAGTAGCTGGAATTACAGGCATGTGCCACCATGCCTGGCTAATTTTGTATTTTTAGTAGAGACTAGGTTTCTCCATGTTGGCCAGGCTGGTCTTGAAGTCCCAAACTCAGGTGATCCGCCTACTTCGGACTCCCAAAGTGCTGGGATTACAGGCATGAGCCACTGCACCCGGCCAGTAATTTTTCCACACACACACACACACACACACACACACACACACACACACACACGGTTAAAATTGCTTTAATCACTGTACCTCATTTCTCCTTCCTAATATTATTTGTATCCCTTTTTTTGTAAGTGATAAGAATGGGGGATATAGAAGAATGAGCATTCTCAGGAAGGAGAGCAACATGTGCTGTTATAGAAGCCTTGGAAAATGCAGAATAGTCCTAGATCATGGGGCGTGTAAGGTGATGGGTGCAGAAGTGAGTGGTAGGATAAGTATACATAGAATTGAAACTGGAATGATATGGCCACCGCACAGGTATCTATATGTCAAGCTAAGGAGCTTGGATTTTATTCTGAAGGTACTAGGAAACCATGGAATGAACTTTAGGAAGTTTTAAAGAGATCTTTCTAGATGTGGTATAGGGAAAAGATTGAGAGGACAAGAGAGGGCCACAAAGGTCTTTACAGGAATCTTAGGAGACAAATGTTGAAGTCAAGAACAGAGACAATGACAATAGAAATGGAACAGAAAGCAAGCTTGAGAGAAAGTAGCATATATAGTTGCTGATTAGAGGTGGTTGGTGCTAGCCAGGGAAAGAATGCTACCAAAAATGTTGTGAAATTTTATGGTATGAACAATTTGACAGATAATGATACCATTGACTAAAATGAGAAATCAGGACAAGTAACTCATTTAAAGTAATAAGGGAGAGGATTGTTGAGTTCCCTGTTGAACATGCTAAATTTGAGGTACCTATGGGACAGCTATATAAAAATATAACTATAAGCAGTCATCATGTAGGTGTGGATTCAGGAGGAAGCAGTTTAAGTCATGGAAGTGGATGAGATAATTGAGGTTTGCACAAATAGAAGAGAACTAGGTTGAAGACTGAATTCAGGAGAACATCAGTGTTTAAAGGAAAAAGTAGAAAAAGCCCAAAAAGGTGAAGGAAACTGGTCATAAAAGTAAGAAAAGAAAAGAGTATCAAAAAAGAGGAGCATATCAACACTGTCATATGTGACAAGAAGTATAGTAAGATAAGGACTGAAAAATACCATTAGATTTCTCAGCAATGATGTCTTGGTGATGTTAGGGAGAGCAGTCTGGAGGCAGGGTGGTAGACAGAATAATGTCTCCCAAATATGTTCAGATATTAATTCCTGGAACTGTGAATATATTAGGCTACATAGCAAAAGGGACATTATAAATGTGATTAAATTAACTTGAGATAGAGAGATTACACCAGATTAACCAGAGGAGCCTAATCTAATCACATGAGTTCTAAAGTGAAAAACCTTTCCTGACTGTAGTCAGAGAGAGAGATGACTATGAAAGAGAACCAGAGAGATTACAACAAACGTTGTTGGCTTCAAAGATGGAGGAAGTGAGGGATATGAACCAAGGAATATAGAAAGCCTCTGGAACCTACAAAAGAAGAAGAAAACTGATTTCTCCTCTAGATCTTCTAGAAGGGAATGCAGTCCTGCCCAAACCTCAATTTTAGACCAGTGAGACCATGTCAGACTTGTAACCTATGGAACTGTAGGACAATAAATGAGTGTCGTTTTAAGCCATTAAACTTTTGCTAATTTGTTACAGAAGCCACAGGAAACTGATATGGGGTGGGAATAGTAGTTAGGGCAATAGTCTGATCACAGTGGAAAGAATGGTGGCTGGAAGGTGAGAAAATGGAGATGAATGAAGGCAACTCTCCAACATTTAATTTCTAAATGAAAAGAGAGCACTAAAACAAAGATCACAGAGATTTGAGGGAAGAATCTTGTTACACTTTTGAAGAGAACGAATGCAGGAGCATATTTAAATGCTGATGAGAAAGAGAAGAGGCAGGACACAAAGACAAGAGAGGATAACAATGGAGAGGAAGTTCCTGGGAAGGCAGCCTGTGCACAATAGAGGAAACAGAAACACAAGAACAGGAGCAATGCCAAATATCACTGAATTTCAGAGGCAAAAAGGAAATAGGTGAGGGAGAGGGGATTTGTGGAGCCAGGGTTCTGATGGCAGGAACTCAATATTATCATCACATATAATCCCTGATTATCTGCTCTTCGGCAATCAAGACTTTCTAAAATGCCTGGGGAAAGAAGAGGTAATTGAGGTCCAGAGAAATGAAGTGACTTATTCACCATTACACAGAGATCTCCTAAAGTTTTCATTTCCTCAACTGTGACAAATTCACTGTGATAATGCATGTGAAACACAGTGTCTGCCATATGGCAAATGCTCAATACCTTGTGGCAGTTATTATTATAGGATAAGGTATGATACCTCTCTTAGCGTATATAGCTAAAGTTTAGAAGCACAGGATATCTAGTAAGATATGCCTAGATTTGACTCCGGGTCTATTATCAGTTTTGCTACTTACTAGCTGTGAGGCTTTGAGCACAGTGATTAATACCTACTAGATAGATATTCCGGCCTCAGATTCTGTATCCTTTGTACCATGCCACACTACTTATCTTTAAACAATTACACAAATGTCAACCGTGGGGCTAATAATTGAACCATGTGTTCTGCCACACTTTACTATTTAGGGGTGACAAATTCCATAGAACCTACAGTATATTACAATGTGCAAAAGAATTGAACTATTTGCCTGCTGTTCATTTCTGTGGACTTGATGGAAAGGGCATAACAGTCCACAGCTTAGTTTCAGTTATCAAAGGAGTCAAACGAAAACCCAACAGAAAAAGATCCAAAACCATTTTTTACCTTGATGAGTATGTAAATATTCATGATAACATTTGATGATGGTACTTTATTTGAATAAGAAAACACTAAATATTTTAATCAAGTCAACCCATCATGTGCAACAGAAGTAATATTACTATTTAGAGGTTTCTGAGTGGATGATGGGATGTTGTCAGATATATCAGTGATTGGCTATTTACTTGTATAGTTAAAATTCATCTCTTCCTTCTATCATTTTGAAGGGACATTGATTTCAATAAAAACCTCTAAATGAGGAGAACAAGAAATGTAAATCCACACAGTGAAAATGAATGAAGTTTGGCACATAAAGTTCAAGGGGTAGTCAAAAGAGGAAATGGTAAAGATTTTAGCTGCAATGATTGCCAGCAGGCTCTGTGCAGGTTATGGAGAGTTTGCCTCATTTTAAGAGCTCATCCAAATACTCCTTTAAGGGTAAGAGCAGGGTAGGGCAAAGTGTCATTACTCAAACAGGCTCAATAATAGGAACAGAGCCACACAAGATCATCTCTCTACTGCTGCTCAACCACCTCTACTCCCACCCACTGCCCAACAGACATACTTTACCACAGTGAATAGCAGAGAGAAATTGAGCTTCTCATGAAATATTATCAGGGAGGCCAGAAAGAGCCTCACCATCTGTGAAGAATTCTTCAACCCTGGCTTGATATCTTCTCCTTCCTGTTCTGTTGGGGTGTCAGGAAACTGCCTGAGAATATGCAATCCCTTTAGCCTCCATTTCACTCTCCACTGTCAGTTTTGTCTAGATAAATGGTCTAGTCAGTAGCTTTTTGCCTATTATTTTTTAATAAAATGGATAGAGTTTTGTGTCCTACTCAATAGAGAATCAAAAAAAGAAAAGAAACAGGCAGTTCTTTTTTGTCAGACTTTTAAGACTATTTTCCCTGTGATGTATTTCTAAAGTCATTTGTGTATTGCAGTCATAGTTAGTATGATTTTTTTAGCCTGAGATATAGTCAGTGACTCTCTCAGGATTACATTGTAATGTGCCCCAATAATCAATTATTTTAATGACCCTACTTACAGAGAGATCCCATATTTTACTAAAATTAATATCAACATACACCTGAAAGCCCTCTTAATGGCTTTGAAGAGATCTACAACAGCCTCTGAAACCTGTACAAACACTAAAAAATATTTTTTGTAAGCTTCAGTTGAGATTATCCAAGTCTAAATAATTTATATGTGTTTCTCAGAGTCATACTTTCCTGATATCACTGACTTGAATCAATAGAGTGTCATTTTCCCCCAAGGGCCCATAGGAATCCAAAGCAAAAAGCATTTATCCTCCTGCTACCCTTATGGCAAGGAAGGCACAAGAATGATTATCCCCATTTTACAGTCTGAGAAAATGAGGAACTCAGACGTGAATAATATGCTGTACAGAATGGTGGAGGCAGAGATGTAAGACTTACTGAAAGTAGGCTAGAAGAAACAATACAGAAAACTAATGACCCTGACAGATCTGTGACTCTGAAACAAATTTGGAGACACTATTAATCAAAACCTGACATGAATCCTGTTTGTACTACCCAGACTATTATCATAAAATGCCATGATATCAAAACAAGTCATCTGTATAGGGCCAGGTGCCACATTAAAGATATGCAGTGACTCTTTAGCTGAAATAGAGATTGTTGCTCTAGAAATCTACCTTCATAAGGTATACTACCCCTGTAGGCCTAAAGGATATGGCAGCAATCCATCAGGCTACATGAAAAATAGCAACTAGACAAGAAGGGCTTATCTGAAATGAAAGCAACAACGATTCTGTCTAGAATAGACAAGTAATAAAATCTGGAAGGCAACATTGCTCCAGTGCTACTTTTAATCATGCCTGCAGTCAGCTGAAGATGAAGAGTTAACAAATAATGGTTCAATAATGGAATAATCACTTACATTAAAAAAATCACACCACAGAGAAATAGGAGCGCTTTTACACTGTTGGAGTTTAAATTAGTTCAACCATTGTGGAAGACAGCGTGGCGATTCCTCAAGGATCTAGAACCAAAAGTATCATTTGACCCAGCAATCCCATTTTTGGTATATACCCAAAGGATTATAAATCATTCTACTACAAAGACACTTGCACACGTATGTTTATTGCAGAACTATTCACAATAGCAAAGACTTGGAACCAACCCAAATGGCATCAATGATAGACTGGTTAAAGAAAATATAATGCACATATACCATGGAATACTATGCAGCCATTGAAAAGGATGAGTTCATGTCCTTTGCAGGGACACGGATGAAGCCGGAAACCATCATTCTCAGCAAACTGACACAGGAACAGAAAACCAAATACCGCATGTTCTCACTCATAATTGGGAGTTGAACAATGAGAACACATGGACACAGTGAGGGGAACATCACACGCCAGGGCCTGTCAGGAGGATGGGAGGTTAGGGGAGGGATAGCATTAGAAGAAATACCTAATGTAGATGACAGGTTGATGGTTGCAGCAAACCACCATGGCACATGTATACCTATGTAACAAACCTGCACGTCTGGCACATGTATCCCAGAACTTAAAGTATAATAATTAAAAAAAAAAATCACATCACAGAGTTAGGTACAATCAACTGAACTTAAATACTACTACTCGTGTCTGTTTTCATTTTCATGATAATATGTGTGACACATAACCCCAGATAGCCCTGTGTAATAATAGGCAAGGAGTAGGTCCCCAGAAGATGCCTGGTGAGGTGACCAATGAAGTCAGCTGAAAGATTCTCAGGCAGGTATCAAGAGAAATAGCAGAAAAGATAGAGTGTTAGCTGCATTAGCCACTTTATCATGTTTACTACAGTCCTTTCTGTCTGTGAGGATCTTCATTTCTTTATAGGTAAGTGGTACCATGATGGTAATATAAGCCTATATAATCCCAGTCCAGTGTACGCACTTTGGATCTGTTCTTCACAATTTGTTAGCTGATTGATCTTAGGGAAAATTATTGAAGTTTGCTGAGCCTCCATTTTCCTATTTGCAACAATGGGTGTATAAATAATACTTACACAGAAAAGTGCTATAAGGATTAAATGAAATTAAGCATGTCAACACTTATTAAATACTTAATATTTTCTGTTATTATCGTTATCATAATTGTCAAGATCATCATTCTACTCCAGTTTTCACTGGACTTAAGATTCTTTCTGGATCCATCCAACTTATCCTAGTCCTGCCCTAGCCAGGTAAAAACATATTTTTAGATATTTTATCATATTCATGGATTGGAGGCTACCTCTAGTCAATCAGAAGTTCTACACTTAATCCAAAAGGTAAACAATACCTGATACGGAATAGGACCTAACTCTGTGCTTCTGTAGCTGGTTCCTATTCACAAACTACCTAAACTTCTGGATTTCTTACTGTCTTGACCTCAAAGAATTGATTTTTTCTCTGCCGTCATTCCCATTTGCATGGATAGCAGCCTTTAGCTTACTTTTGACCATGCATAACCCTAGACTCCTTCTCCTTGCCACAGTTTCTTGGTTTCCAAATATTGGCCCACTTTAAACTTCTGCCAATCACTAATATAGGAGACCTCCTGATTTCCAACCTAGACTGAAATTCTTATTTGGGGTTGTCACTCTGATAATTCCTATTATAATGTTGTATCTAGGCAGTCTTATATCACTGAGTCATGATACTGAAAAGGCAACAGAATACAGAATAAGGTTCACCCTAAAGAAGCCAGTTGGTAGCAGCAATTGGAATCGCCACTTTCAGTTTCTGATTGTGCTAGCCAACTCTAGTAATGGTGCCAAATACATGAGCAAAGAACACACGTGGCTGTAACAGCCATACTTACTATGTGTGACTCTTGAGCCATTCATGTTCAACAACCCATGTGGCACCAGTAAGAAGACAAGATTGTAAGTAATTTCACCAGAGAAACACAGTTTACACTAAACATCATGCTAGAAGATTTTTAGTTAGAAATTGCAGTCTCAAATATGCAAAGCAACACTAAATGTAAGCACAAACTAAACCTGGATGTTCCAATGAGGAATTTGTTTACTATGATTAATGAATAAATTGAGAGATGGGGGAGTCCCAAGAAGTATCATGACTCTGACTGTTTTACAACCCAAGAAAAAAAATTAACCTTTCAAAAGTCTGCACATGACAGTTGTTTTTTTTTTGTTTTTTTTTTTTTCATAAAATTACTGGGAAAAGAAACTCAAAACTCAGTCATATTACCTTCTGAACTTATTGGGTATCCACCAAATCAGTTTCTGGAGAATGTGAGTTTTCTAAGCAGTTACATAAATGAGCAAAGATGATGGTGAGAGAGGCAGGAAGAGACATTTAGTGCAAAGTCTATATGGCATGCGCCAATTAAAATGGCTCAAGCAAGTGACAGGATAGAGGGGAAGAAACCACGTCTGCAGACAAAGTGTAATGATTCATGCATAAATGGAGTCAGTTTGAGCCATGTTTGGTTTTTGTCATTCATGTGAGTTTCTTAATGGATAATTTTTAAAAGGCATATATAATTAATTTCTACATTAAAATATAACTTGATATAACAGAATATGATTAATGTTTTATACATATTGTTTCTCCTCCCCAATTTTATGATGTCTCAAACATTGGTCAAGCAAAGCGTTTAATGAGAAAACCCAGGCAGAGAACAGAAAGCTATGCTCCCCTGCAGTGTGATGGTGAGGGTGCCCCTAAGTGGAGATTCGGATCAGCAGGCTGAGAACGAGTGCCCTGAAATGTTTAGAGCATGTTCTAAGGGGTATCCAAAAGAAACTTCAACAATCCTATCCAAAGTATTTCGACTTTTTGCCTCTGCCTAAATATCTCACAATTCAAGACTCATTACCTGTACTGCCCCTCTTGTAAAAGGTATCATGATTATAATTGTTCCTTATTCATCTCCCCTACTAGACTATAAATACCATAAAAATGGAGACCAGGCTTGGGTGTCAAATGATACTGATCAGCAAACGACATTGGATTAAGTCACCATTAAAAATAAAATACTCCCCTCAGTATTTGTTATTTACACATTTAAAGCGATAATCCACCTCAAATTTCTGTTATTTCCACCACAATGTGAACACATTTCTACTGAAAGCAAGTTATGATTGAGGGGCAGGCGTTGCATGGGGGCAAAATGTAACATATTGGTACTAGGCAGGTGAGGCAGAAAACTGATGCCACACATCAAAGTGGTCTATGTGCCCCCAAACAGTGTCTCTAATTCAGCCTCTAGATGAGGAGGGCATAAGAAACTTTAAGGCTCATTACAATGGTAGTCCATGGAAAGGATGGTTAATGCTATGGAAGGGAACCATGATAGAACATCATGTAAGTCTGGAAAGATGACACCACTGGCACTGAAGATCACTGTTATAGAAAAAGCCATGGAAACCATTGAGCCGAAAACAATAAATTCCTTCTGGAGAAAACTTTATCCAGATGTTGTACATGACTTCACAGGATTTATGACAGAGCCAGTCAAGGAAATTATAAAAGAGATTGTGGATATGGCAAAAAAAAATAATAAAAAGATGGTAGAAGCAGGAGTAAAGATTTCAGTACATGGTTCTTGGAAAAATTCAAGATCTAATAAACATTACACCAGAGGAATTAACAGAAGATTACTTGATAGAGATGAGCACTTCCAAATGATGAGGCATAAGACAAACTGCCAGTAGACAATCTGGCAGAAGGTTCCCATTTATTTAAGACTGCTTTTAACTTGACATGGACCCTTTTATAACACAGGTGCTAAAATTAAAGCAAACAATAGAACTGTTAGTGTATAGATACATTTTTAGGAAAACAGCAAAGCAAAAATGTCAGACAGAAATTGTGTTGTAGTTCTGGAAAAGTATACCAAGTGTGTTTGCCTGTCCTGACTCCCCTTCCATCTCCTCCACTTTTGCCTCTGCCACCCCTGAGAACGCAAGACTGACTCCTCCTCTCCCTCCTCCTCTCAGCCTATTCAATTTGAAGATAATGAGGATGAAGACCTTAATGATGATCCATTTCCACTTAATGAACAAACACATTTTTTTCTTCCTTGGAAAAAAAAAAAACTGTGCCACAAAGAACCTGGAGAAAATTGCCATTTTGCTAAGTTAAGTCTGACACCAACAGGCTACTTCAGGTGCCTCAAATATTGCCTCCATGACAGTGTACATTGCCTCACAGAATGACCCCATCTTCCCCTAAACTGAGCATTCTTTCCACTCCATTACCAAATACTGCATTTGCTATCTTATTTGCTACACTGTATGGAAGTGTTATAACAATAGCCAGCTCAAAATTCACATCTGCATGAAGGTAATTAGTCATCTTATATTTCCTTCTATCTAGATTGAGGATTTGTTCCATGCTTTTTCTCTTAACGCACTCCCCATGGGTCAACTTTCTCTCAATGAGTTGATTTATATTTACCAAAAATGCATTTAACATCGCAGCTTCACAGAGAAGAAACTAGAGCGTAATGATGCCACTTCCTATTAATCTGTAACTAGGGGCTGTTTTAGTCAAAGCCTAGGTACACTCTCTGTGTGAATATGAATTCATTTGCCTGTGCGTGTGTGTGTGTGTGTGTGCACACGCGCTCTCTCTCTCTCTCTCTCTCACCAGTGCTGAAAATACACCAGCAATTCTCAAATGTGTGTGTTTGGAGAAATGATACATAGCAGAATTCCCCGGGGGGCTTTTTCAAACTATACGTGCTCCCTTGGAGGTTCTATAACTTCCCTCATACTGACCCCTACTCCTTCATGTTTAGTCACCACAAGGTAATGAGTGGTATTACTGATGGGTACCAATTTCACAACGTGAAGGCAGTAAACAAGTTGAGAACCACTATATTAAGCTCAAGATTAATAACTGAGTGCTTCCCACTCCTGTCCCACCAGTTTTACAAATTCACTCCATTAGAAATCACAGTGGAAATTACATTATCAGACCCATTAAAAACTGCCTCAGGAAAAACAATTAATCAAAATTTACATCTTCTATAAATTATGTATAGTTTAGAGTTTTCTGAATCTGTCCCATACTGTCTTCACTTTCTTTCCTTGCCCAAACACAGGCTCTTATTACTTCTTGCTGTTGCCTACTAACTGAGGTCACGGACTCGTCTAACACCCCTCCGAAATGGCTTATTTTGCTAAGCTTTAAGCTAATTGGCTACTTTGTTTAAAATAATTCAATGGGCCAGGCATGGTGGCTTATGCCTGTAATCCCAGCACTTTGGGAAGCCGATATGGGAGGATCACATGCGCTCAGGGGTTCAAGGCCCACCTGGGCAACATGGCGAGACTCATCTCTACAAAAAATAGAAATTAAAATAGCCAGGCATGGTGGTGCATGACTGTAGTCCCAACCACTCAGAAGTCTAAAATGGGAGGATCACCTGAGTCCAGGAGATCGAGACTGCAGTGAGCCATGTTCACACCACTGAACTCTAGCCTGCGCAGCAGAGTGAAACCCTGTATCAAAAAATAAAATAAAATCTTCCAATGGTTTCAAGGTCCAAGATGTTTGGCAAGGCATGCAAAGCCCTCCCTAACCTTCCCTTTGTTTGCCATTTCAGCCACATCTCCTGTTATTCCCCCTAATAGTTTAAACTGTCACACTCAGCTACTAATACTCACAAGTCTCTTTAAACACACCACTGTGTTCCAGACTTCTGTGCTTTTGTAATGCTATTCACACTTTTTGAAATATTATTTTTCTTTCTTTCACTTGGCAAACTCTTGTTTATCCTTTAAAAACATGCTCACATGTACCATCCTCTGTGATACCCTACCTGACAACCCCAGGCAAAGTTTCTCTTTCTCCTTTGCATCTTGTGCATACTTCTCTTGCTGCACTTGGCACGTTGCAATGCAATATTTGGATTACATGTCTCTCTGCCTTCCCTACTAGACTGAATTCCCTGAGGCCAGAGTCCATGTGTATCTTTTTATTTCCATCTCCAAGCATGGGGACTGTCATATAGCAGCTCACAGTAAATGTTTGTTAAATTGAACTAAGCAGGAAAAAAAAATGCACTTATATTTCAAATCAAGAAACAGCCCCCATTTCATTTAATGCAATCACAAACCTTTAAGTTTGGAATAATCAGTAACTCTACTGTTACCAAGACTAGTCACCACAGTCTATCAGTAATTCCTCAGTGTCTCTTAAAATCTTTCCAAATCCATCAAAACTCTCCCAAATGAGACTTTTGTCCCAGCATACATGACTAATAATGCAGTAGCCTCCTAACTAATCTTCCTGATCCCATTCTTTCTTTCCTTCTAGTATCCACTCCTCCGTAATGTCAAACTCATCTTCTTGAAACCCTAGCGTTACCTTTCTCCAGTAGCAGCTTCTCACTGACAACATGACAAGGTCAAACTCCTAAGCCAGATGTTTAAGCTCTAGCCTAAAATCTCAACTCATAATTCCTGATATGAACCCTCCCATTCAAGTCTTGCTCAAAAGGCAGGAATATTTATTCGCAAGTTCAAAGATTGATAGTGTATAACTTTAAAACTTCTATATGGCAACAAAATCAGATCATCAATAGACAAAAACAAATTGAAAAATGTATTTTCAACATATATAACAGAAAATTAAAGTTGTGCAATGTACAAAGAGATCACAAAAACCATCAGCTCAACAGATAACTGCTCAAAAGAAAGTAATTTTGCTGAAAAAGAAATTAAAATGGCCCATAAATATGTAAGATGCTACTTCATTCATAAATAAATACAAATTAAAACAATGAGATAGTATACTTCACATATGAGACTGGCAAACAGTAAAACTTAAAATATATGTATTGGGAAAAATGTGGCTAAAAAGTAACTTGCATAAAGTATTGCTGAAAATATAAATGATTATACACTATGCAAAGGTGAATATGACAATACCTAACAAAATCAAAATCACACCTACTTTTAGACCTGGAAATTGCACTTCAAAGAATTCTCTTCTACAGAAATAACCCACAGTAATGTACAAAACTAAAAATATAAACATGTTTTAGCAGCACTGTTTATAACCTCACCATAAATATCTACCAATGAAAGGGTTAGTTCAATAAATTATCATATAGCCATACAAAAAAATTCTATGAAGTTGTTTAAAAGATTTATTTATACATATATATGGAAATATCTATATTTACATGATTCAGCTGACAATTCATTAGAAAAAGAAAAATATAGAGAGACATGAAAATGGCTCTACAATGTTTCTAAATGAAGTTGCATAGCATTATGTATGTGTCAATTTTTATGAAAATTCTATGTGCATCTAATATGTATGTATACATAAACATGTGTATAATGTATGTGTGCATGTAAGTGCTATTCATTTATAACATGTGCTATTACTTTATAACTAAAAAAGTTAACTTTGTTTCTTCTTCAAGGTTCAGCAAAAGCTAGCCCCTCCACAATGTTTTCCTAATCACTTCAACTGCAAGCAAACTCATCATCCCCTTGAATTTTAATGAGACATATACAGGTTTAGTACCCCTTGTTAGAACTGCTTGAGATCTGAAGTATTTCAGATTGTGAAGTTTTTTGAATTTTGGAATGTTTGCATATACATAATGAGATACCTTGGGAATTGGACCCAAGCCTAAACACAAAAATTATTTATGTTTCACATATACCTTATACACATAGCCTGAAGATAACTCTGCAGAATATTTTTAATAATTCTGTATATGAAACAAAGTTTTGTCTGCAACTCATCACATGAGGTTGAGTATGGAATTTTCCACTTGTAGGGTCATATCAGCACTCAAAAATTTTAGATTTTGAAGCATTTTTGGATTTCAGATTTTCACACTGGGGATGCTCAACCTGTATCTACACCATTGACTTAACACTTAAAACGTTCTTTAATGTGGGCGAGACATGGTGGCTCACACCTGTAATCCCAGCACTTTGGGAGGCTGAGGCAGGAGGATTACTTGAACTCAGGAGCTCAAAATCAGCGTGGGCAACATAGTGAGACCCTGTCTCTAGTAAGGAAAAAGAATTCTCTAATGTGGCAGTTTTATGCATATATTTAAGCTCTTTAATTAGATTTTAAACCTAAAGGCACAGAACTATATGCTAGGCCTTTTTATATGTCCAAGAGCATCTTAGGATATCATCTTCTATAGATACTGTGCTGAGCAGATTAAGTCATATTTTACTGTGATACTTTTTCTATAAAGCAAGCCCCTTTATATCATGTATTCCCTCTCCTCTGCCATTCCCAATCCCATGAGGTAACCAAAGTTGAACAGCCTATTGTGAATTTGACACCTTCTCCTTATTGTTAAAAATGTACAAGCATAGAGATACACATATAAGTGATTTTTGTTAAGAAAGAAACCTGCTTTCTTCAACAGTATGTCAACATGACTTCCTCTTAAATATCTAGATATAACATGAGGTCAAAAAATGTGCTTCGGACTATAAAACACACCTTTCCATGTATTATATTTAAAAAGTAACATTATTATTAGTCCTATTCTATAAT